GCATGTATCAGCTGAACCTTTGAAATACGTACACCAGCACCTTGATGTGAAATGGATGTTGCCTTTTCATAAAATTTGTAAATCTGACTAGTTGCTATGATTTCAGGCTGAAAGTTCTGAAGTGTCTGCAGAGCTTGAATTTCTTAACCAGCAGAATCTTATCCTCAGCATGGAGAATAAAGCCCTAAAGCAGCGCCTAGAAAGTTTAGCTCAGGAACAGCTTATAAAGTATTGTAAGTTTCTTTCTCTTTTGTACTGAACTATTCAACTTGTTTCCTGTGTTGTAGACTTAACTATTTTGATAAACATGTTTTAGAGCAGGTATTGTGAATGCGAACCCTACATAGCTGGGAGTTAGGTTTATCTGAATTAAGTATCATATGATTTGATGTTTTCCACTGTGAATAAAAGTATAACTGCTAGATATTGGTATCCGAGCAATGTTCAATTTGATTAGCAAAATAGCTATCTCCAGGAAATTTGGTGACAATTAGTGGTCATCCCACAATACATCATTTTTGGTGGGAGGACAATGAGCTTGCTGAAAATCCACGACTCTTTGAATTAATAATTTTGTTTAATTGCTTTTCTTTTCCCTATGTGCGGGAAACTGAAATAGTCTTCCTTGAAATCTTGTACTACTATAATTAGCAAATATGTCCCTTTGAAAAGCATAACTATGCTTGCTGGGACTCGATCGGTTATTATCTGCTATAAGATGGAAATCTGACCAGGTCAAAGTTTCTTGAGAAAAAAAACAGTGCTAGTCTTTTCTACTGCATCTGGATGACCTTAATGTGAACTTGTCCCAGTTTGCTTTTTCAAACCTTCAAATAGCTAAATTTACCTTTGTAAAGAAATACAAAGGATGAATGTTATTCTTATTTACCTTTGGAGCAATCATAGCATACATATAAACATAGATGATTGTATGATTTTGTGGAGTACGATATCGTTGTTTAGATCCTTCGTTATCATATATCTCTTTTGTACCTTTTTTTGGTAACATTGAGATTTGAGAGTTACTTTACTTGTCCAAATGAAAGAAAGAGAAGGAATGCTCGAGTTTGCAACTATAAGATGCTAAATAATTGATCTTTCTCATTAAAAAAATTGAAGCTAAATAATTGATCTTTAATTCCCCCTAAGTGGAGTTCTTTTTCCTTGATTCAAAGACTTGCAGGAAACTACCATAGTTGAATTAACTATTTTGAATTTTATGAGATACTGGTCTTTGGGATCGGAGCAGTTAAACGTTTATATAGCCGGTACTTTATTTCATCAAAAACTACCACTCATAAATTTCCCATGCAGTGGAGCATGAAGTTCTGGAAAGAGAAAGAGGAAGGCTGCGAGCATTGTATCAGCAACAACAGCAGCCACAACAACTATCTTCCAGCCATCGCCGCAACACCAGTAGGGATCTCGATCAGCAATTTTCAAACCTCTCTTTGAGACAAAAAGAGGCCGACCGTGATCCTGTTTCAGGACAACTTCACATTTGACCGGAAATTAGCTACGACTTCAATCACAGCTTACTGACTTTCCCTCGTCTGATTTTGCCATGGAGTGACAAAAGTTCACAAATTCCATTGTGTCCGCGATCAAGACGAGGTCTTGCCTCTCTTGAACTTACCTTTAATGGGGTTGCTCTTCTACTATCTAGAATTGGTTCTAATTCTTGTGACAACATGTGTCTTTACATCAACATTCGTTAAGCTTTTACGCGCACCTGGTGGTCAATGCTAAAGAATAGCATTTATGACAGTTGACTCACCTGAGGTGGTTGATTCCAGCATGTATGTTCCAAGTGATTACTCCCGTGAGAAATTAGGGTTTTCCCATTCAACAAAAACAAAAATTCGACATTCGATATGAAGAAGAAGAAATTCAGGGATATACACTTCCCATATCAAAGATAAATCTTTCAACTTCTGTAAATTCTACAACGTACGATCCCAATTGTTATCTCTTGATGATCTAAACTAGTTATCAAAATACAGAAAAATAGACATTAAAATAATAAACGAATTACTGTTTCCAATCAATCAACAAATCATTCAATCCTCTGTTTCTTACCTTACCCTTACTATTACTAACAAAACCAGCATTCTTGTTCTCCAAGTAAAGAATTCTGTTGTTCACAGCATCAAGTTTTGATTCCACTAACGTCAGAATATCAATCTCTTCTTCTTTTTCTGATAATTCCTTATTCGCCTTTTTGTTGGGAGTTAGGGTTTTAGTATACAAATTAAGAACTTGTTTAACAGCATCCAAATTTTCAGGCCAAGTCTGAAGTTCCCCTTGAGGACTCGTAATAATAGTACAACACTTGATATCACAGAGAGTTGAAAGCTCCATTGTTTTCCTCTTTATGCATTCTTTCCTGACTTGATATGTTTTGGGATTGTTTGTTTTCTTCTTGTTTTGGTTTTCTTCTGCCATGGCTAATTGTTTGCACCGAATAATTTTGACAAAGTGAAGAGTCGCGAGAGGAATATATATAGTGATTTTTTGTTAAAAGATGGAAACCGCCAAACTTATAACATATCTCTTAATGGAATCCTACTTTGGAAATTTATACTTTTGGTAATAGAAGTTACCTAATTAAGTTGCAATTACTATTTCCAAATCCTAATTTGCATAGGAATGCTGAATATATTATTATTCTTTTTCGGCAGGGGAGGAAAGCATTTTTCTAATAAATCGGCTCAATTCTATGCGTAAGACAATTTCGTTAATAAAAAAAAAATATTGGTTTTGTTTGATGGGTATTTATATATCAACAATTTTTGTATTTGCTGGTTATATATATACATATATCCCTTTCAACACTTTTCACCCTTTTTTCCCCTACTAGGAAATAAAAGTTATTTTTGTTTGGTGGGTAGAATTCTCTTAGTATACTTTCACATATTTTTCTCTAAATGTATAAGAAAAAAGTGATATGGTTTGGGTTGATATATATTTTTCCTCAACACTATCTTTCTCTATATAGAATAAAAATCTTTTGTTTGGTTTAATTGGTGTGTATTTTCTCTCTATTATATCATCTACTTTCAATCTCTATAAAGCAAATAAATTTTATTCATTTAATTTGCTTTGTGTTTCTCTCTAATACTTTCACAGATTTTATTTAGTATTTGATATAATACTAAAATAAAACACTAAAACTTGTGCATAGAAGACCTCTATGAAATTGACACATGATTAAGAGAACACACTTGAGAGACACTATCAATCTATAAATTAATACTCCCTCTGTTCCAGTTTATGTGAACCTATTTCCTTTTTGGTCCGTTCCAAAAAGAATGAACCCTTTCTAATTTTGGTAACAATTTAGCTTAAAGTTACAACTCTACCCTTAATGAGAAGCTTTTATAACCATACAAATACTTTGAGCCCCATTTGGACTTGTTTAGGACCACAAATTCCAAAAGTCTTCATTTTTTTCTTAAACTCCGTGCCCAGTCAAACAGGTTCACATAAATTGGAACAGAGGGAGTATTAATTACTGGTTAAACTTATTAAAATAAGGTTAATATCAAAGAGAGGAAGAAAACAATGATAGTAAATATTGAAGGAGCCATAAATTGACTAGAATTTGGAAGCCTTGGATAGCCATCGTGAAGGTAAAACACAGTCTTCTCCATTGGACGAAATCTTTCTTGGAAAAGCCCATCCTTCCCTAAATGTGAAAATCCCTGCATCTTTCTGCATTAACAACTCACTTTGTACATTCCCAGTTTCACCTGCTTGTAGCAACATGTCATTGTAATACTCAATCCCATAAAACATTCCTGTGTCATCTGCATTAAAAAAGTTTAACCTAAAGTTATCACATGGATATAAAAGATTCATATAGACGACTCCAATGAGTTTGGGGCAGGGAGACACCCTTTAGTAAGGGGTGTCATCCGACATCGCTTCATATTAAATAAGACAAAGTATAAATCAATTTGGTACAAGATGCAAAGCTTTAAAACCATCATAGTCCAAGATAAAGGCGGACTCCGGATTTTTAATGCAATGGAGGCACTTCTGCTCAACTAGTGCTCTCTAAAGACTTTTAATATTTAGGGTGCCAAGTTATTTAAGTTAACTATTTTCAAGGTATATGTATATACATATACAAGATTTCTGCCGAAGTTACCATGATTTTTACTCTTAAGGAGTCAAAAGGAAGACTGGAACTCAATAAAGGCAAACTCAAGTCATTTGGGATTCATTTTCGCTGTTGTTTCCTCAGTTTTCTTATCTTATGCTCTTCCCAAAAGAGCTTGATATTAAAAAAAAAATTATAATCTTTTTATTTCAAATCCAATATTTTGAGAGATTATTTCAAGATTTTGAAGTTTGCCTTATGGTAAGCAACCTCCACTTCCAACCAAGAGGTTGTGAGTTCGAGTTTCCCCAAGAGCAAGGTGGAAAGTTCTTGGAGGGAAGGATGCCGAGGGTCTATTTGGAAACAGCCTCTCTACCCTAGGGTAGGGGTAAGGTCTGCGTACACACTACCTTCTCCAGACCCCACTAAGTGGGATTATACTGGGTTATTATTGTTGTTGTTGAATTTTGCCTTATGTTGAGTTTTAATTTGTATTTAAAATGTATGTAATTGTTTCAAGTACGTTGGTGAAGTAGTGCAAGTCTTAGGGTGGTTTTGTATTTATTTTGTAATTTTTGTTTTGAGAATTGTATTCAATTTGCGTATTTTATTTTCCAATGTATCCTTTGGAAATTGTTTTTTCCCAAAGTTAATAAGAACATACTGCCTCCAAAACCGTAGGTCTTTTATTTAGAGACCGTTTGCAATCTTTAATTTTGAGAATAAGTGAGAAAATTATGCTGACGATAATATAACATTAACTTTTTAATTATTTGTATCTATTTTTAGAATATTAAAGAGAGTGACGGCCAGCCAGCTCCTTCTGATACTTTTCCCATGTCAGAAAATTTAGACTTCTCGATCAATTAGTAATGAACTATTGATCCTTGATTCAAGAGTAACAGCTCCACATTAACCAGCTTGCATACAATCAAATGTGTAATTTATAATGTATAAGAATCATTTTAGGTTACATGCTACGGTTCAAGATTCGAAATGTTCTAAATGTGTATAGTTAATTGTCCGAAGCATGTTTAACATCTTCAAGATTTTGCATGAAGACGATGACATAAAGACCGTATTGTCAGAAGTTCAATAGGAACCATTTGTCATAAATTACATTTTACCATAAATTGTAAAAAAAAAAAAAAGGCACTTAACTCTTTGAGTTGAATTATAAAAGGAATTAAGCACAGTAACAGAAAGCTGATAAACCAACTGAGACCGCGAGAACGAACAGGAAAATAGTATACTTAACTTGGGAGAAGCATCATGTTCAAATCCCTATATGAATGATTCCATGGAATCCGCCCAATCGGCTTTGCTAGGTTTTGAAGATACCAAAAAACGCAAAACTCGATTTACAATCAAATACGTAGATACAACAACAAAATATGCAGAAGAAATCAAATCAACCATTAGCACATAAAACAAAAGGGGAAAATGAAAAATAGAACAAACAGGACGAAAATAACAATCAAACAAAAGACATAATTTCAAACAATATCGAATCGAAGAGGAAAACGCAGAAGAAGATTGCGCTTGTCCTTTTGGATTCTCTGATCAGATTGAAGAAGAAAACATGGAAGACAAAGAGCTTATTGAAGGAAAAGCAGATGAAAGAACTCGGTAGAACGGTAAAATTAGGTTAGCAAAATCCACCAACATAGTCCGCAGACAAATGCAGCTCATTATATTTGTGTCAATTAAGTGCATGGAACTTGTAATCTAAGACCAATGGTGGAACGAAGTTAATTATAAGCCTATTGACATATACCTTGTTTAAGGAAGCACACGGCCACAAAAAAATTATGGACACTTACTATTTCCGCAAGACTAATGAATTCATATACATCTATTATTTAATTAATCATAGTAACTCAACCATACTCTCACCTTAATTTTTCACTTAAACATTAGAAAATTAGTGTGAATTGGTATATATAAACTTCAGGTGTAACCAACTTAACCTTTAAAGAATTATCCACTGATAGTTATAATTAACTTAAGCCAATAGAGAAATTTCTTGTCTTTACCCAAACGACTTGCAGGTTCTATATCCACTTTTACTCTCAATTGAACGAAAGCAGGCAACAACACCAGACAATCAAATCTATGCCTCCATGAAGAAATGGAAAGTCTACGTGGTCGAATAGCCTCCCAGTAGAAGCAAGAGTTCTAAAATCAAGAAATTTAAGAGTAACTTGACAATCTGATGTTTTGAGCCTACAATAAAAAAGCGCAAAATGACAATACAAAATAAAAAGAGACAACAGAAGAACAGAATATATATGGTTCTTTGTAATTGTTGTTGATTCATGGAATTATGAATTGTAACGTACAACGGTCTCTTTATTTGCTAGCAAATTCAATGTACTTATATGTTTATACGTAATGTATAATTGTCTAGTGTCTGAATTTTTAATTTTATTTTATAAATCTGCATTGGTTTTTAAAGAGCATAATGATGGCAGAAAGTTGAAGAGACTCAACACTATTATCATGATAAACATTAATTATTCAAAAATATTTTTACCTTTTTGTGCATCTATATTAAAAGAATAGTTTAGATATTAAAGGGCGGAAAAGTCATTTAATTTCTTGTAGATTTTTGGTCTTTCAGTCTTCGAGAGTGAAAGGATGAAGTCGTACAGTTTTCTCAGTACCATCCAAGACATCATAAATTGTTTAATTTCAGTTATACTTTTTCCTAGATAGATGATTGTGGAGTCCATCACACTGCATTGTTGTAGATGGTTCAAAAAGAATTTGATATAAGTAGGTAAAAAAAAATATATCAAGAGAAATGCATTGAACTCAAGCAGAACAATAAGAATGGAAGTCAAACTCTACCTTATTTGACTTTAGAGCCAACCGTTGTAGCATTCAGTTGAAAAAACAATCTTCTCTGTCCCTCTTCATCTGTGACCTGAAAATCAATTACTTTTATAAGTAAAGGATCCAAATTGAAAACGATAGAGCTTCTGAGGATAAAAAGGTTTGATCAAGCACTTCTATACAGCGTGCAGCACTGACATGTGTCCAAATGCAATATAGGATCAATACAGTACTAAAGATAAGATAAAGAAAAATATCGATTTTCTCATATTGTCAATGAGTACCACTACTAATGGCAATGCCAAAGTATTATCGTCGTACACTTCCTCCCTCAACTATAAAGTGCGATGTTTCATTAGATGTTCAGCTGTAATCTACAACAATTATGTAATATAGGAAACAACATTCCAAATGTCAAAAATCCAGTAAGCAATTTTAGGGGTTGCTAGTTAGATCCGATAAACAATTTTCAAGATTGGCTAATCAAGAAGCTTGGATTTCATAGATTACTTAAAGCTCAATTGACTATACTATCCACTTAATGAATTTAAACACGAACTAAACTACTTCAAAGGTAAAATTTATATTAATATTTGCCTTTGAATTTAGTTTTCCTTCCCCTTCCAATCATTCCAATCAAGAAGGGAATGGAACCTTGAAAGTCATTAGAAATAAACCAATAACTATATAATAGTCTATATAAAATGTCATCAGTTCAAAGAAAAACATATGACATAGCATCATAGCCTAATTTGACCAGTAGCTACATAACATCAAAGAACATCAAATACAACAGATGGTAACAAAATAAATAGACTTGAAGTAGTAATTAATAAAGAATACTCATTTTATATAACATAAGACCACGGATCCAAACTTATGATACAAATTAACTTAATTTTTATGCATCACAAGTTGCAAATATTCATTAGTAGAGTTTGTCACCAGGCTACTAGCTATGACATTGAGAAGTATGGAACCAACCCAACAAAGACATGGAAAGGGGAAAAAATGAATAAAAAAGGAGAAGAAGATTGGGAAGAGATTGAAAGAAAACCATACCTGAGATTTAAACACCCAACAGGGAAGAAGATTAAGTGCAATAAAAGGTCTTTATTCCAAGACTGAAGAAACTGAAGAAGCATTAGTTGAAGGTGGAAAAAGGAGGAGGGTGTTGCTGTCATCGTACAAATACATCACTGCTGATGCTAAATGACTAAACTGCCCTCAAGCTTTTTGAAATAGACACTAAACAGACAAGTCGAAACTCAAGCGCTTCCAATATATAGTAAAGTAAAGTAATATATATGAAAATTAAAACATTTGTATTGCAAAATATATCGACTGAAAACAGTTTTGAGCGTATTTAATTGTTAGTTCTAAGGCTCCAATGTCATTCAGCCAATTGGTCGAACATATGGCATGCAATTTCAGGGAAATATATGAAAGTGCGATATGAATTAGCCATCCCAAAACAATTAGGGCAAAGTAATCACAGCAACCCTTGATCAATTTCACACAACCATCAAAATAGTCCAAAATAAGAAGAAAAACTAAAGATATCTATCAAAATCTCATCACCGTATAAAGGAAATAGAACAGAGCCCAAAAACGCAAAGAAAGAAACTGCAAAAACCAACACATATCATCAAAATCCCATCACCAAGAAAATCCGCAGAATTCACATATATGATAAACCCCAAAACCAAACAGCAAATGAAAAAATGTATAAATCTAAGTAAAAGCTAATGGCCAGAGTGAAGAAGAAACTTAAGGAACAGCCAGAATAGGGCAATAATCGAGCAGAAAGACTTAAGACCAAACTCAAATTTCAACTCAAGAAGGTCACCTGGTTTTAGCCCTTTCTCGGTCTTACGCTTTGATTGCCATGAATTGTTTCTCCGTGCATGCCTTGAAAATTCCAGATTGGGATACTGAGTAGAAAGAGAGAAAAGGGATTAAGATGTTAAAGAGAAGAGATGGTAGACACGTATACGCATGATACAACAAAAGTGATGCTAAATGACTAAATTGCCCTCAATCTTTTTCAAATAGACACTAAACAGACATCTCGAAAAACTTGCTCTTCTAATATACAGAAACTAGGTTTACGCTTATAAGCTTGTCGCACGTTTTCTCATTCCAGTTTCCCTAAATAAGCATGGCTAAAGAAAAGAAGAAGAAGCTAGAGCACCAAAACCCTAGCCCTAGCAAACCCGCCGATGAAGAAGCAGAACAAGAAGGCAAAAATGATACACAATACTCCCAACATCAAGAAATTGACAAAGTAAAATCCGATAAGAAGAAGAAAAAGAAAGAGAAGCAGCTTGCCGTGACAATTGAAACCATCGCTGAAAACCTTAATAAGACATCTCCGATTGTTGGTTACTTCTCTTCAGGTTATGACCCGTTAAGGAACAACAACAGCAGCGCTCAGTTATATAGGAATGTGAAAAGGAACAACCGGTTACAGCTTGAGCGGGGCGCAGGTGGATTTCGTAGGGACTAATTATTCCGGTGAGGCAACATCCGCTCAGTTATGCACTTACTCGCTTGGGGTGCTGGATAAGGAAACCCAAACTCTCAAGATTGTACCTATTGCTGCTAACAGGGTACATTTTTTATTCCTCCAAGGTTGCTATTTTATTTTGTTTGATTTGTGAGTAAAAAGAATGTATTTTTTTTATGATGGTGTCGGGCCAGCTCACGCACACCTCGACTATTTACCAAATTCCTGAAGGCTTAGGTAGATGGAAAGAAATCGTCATAGTGTTTTTTTGTCTCCGCCTGGATTTGAGCCGTGGACCTCAAGGTTCTCCTCTCACTTCATTAACCAATTCACCACACCCTTGGGTGCAAAAAAAAGTATTTTATTAGTAGGAATTATCTCTGTTTTAGCAGACAAGGTCAATTTGCTTTCTCTTGGCTAATAGTCTTTGATTGATGAGTAAAGAAAGCTATTTTGTTAGAGGAATTATCCCCATTGCAGCAAACAAAATTGAAGTTGATTCAGAAGATTTTTGGTGTTCGATAGGTGAGTAAAATATAGGATTTAATGTTCTCTATTACAGCAAACAAGGTAAATGGTTCTGACGGATATATGTGTGATTGGTGAGTAAAAGAAGGTATTTTGCTTCTTTGGCTGTGATTGGGCAGAGTAGTTTTTGCTAATTGGCTCCTTTTGATCTTATGTAGATGCTCAATCAGAGATGGAAATATGCTTTTCTTTTCTCAAATCCACTGGAATGAAAAAAATATCAAATCCCAGTCAAGCCAACGTAATTAAGTAATTAACAGATGGTGTGGATATGTTAGATTAATACAACAATCATCATAGTCCTGCTGAGATATTGTTAGATTAAAACAGTAATTACGTAATTAACAGATGGTGTGAATATGTTATGGTACGACTCTTTTAGTTGTCAAAATTGGATGCCACTCGAACTTTGATTGGGCGGAACATTTATTGTAATTGATCTGTATCATTTTTATAGTTTTGGTTGAATGAAAAGGAAAAAGGGGTGAAATTTGTTTGATTCATTTCTAACACGAGATATGCTTATCTCGCTCCCACCAAGATAGGAAATTACAAATGAGAAACCTAGTCTTTGTTCTCCAAGATTGTAGTTCAGGAGACAAGTAGAATCTCTTCATTCCATGACTCGTTGAAATATCTTAAATTTTATGTTGAATTAGTAGGTAGTGATATGTCATGGTAGGATCAATTTGATAACAGAAAAAAACAATTTGACTCGTGTAATTATTAAACAGAGAGTTCTTGCTTTGCTTAACGTAGTGATATGTGCTTCCCTGTGTGCTAATTGTTTGGTTAAGGCTTCTTACGAAGGAAGTTTAAGTGTGCTTACCATTTTGAAATGCTTAGAAACTGAAATGGTTATTCTACTTTACGTAAATGCAGTTTGTTGTCTAACCAATAGTTGTGATATTATCTAGGCTATCGCACATCTTTGGTGATCTTGTAAGTCCTGATTTTAAATAACGATAAGCAGGCGATGAGTGCAATAGTTGTTTATTTTCGATATCTTATTCTCTTTTATATTTGCTAGCTTATGATTGCAGATAATTAGGTTGGAACCTAGAGTTAGAGGGTCAGATGTACCGGAAAATGAAGATCCAGATACGGTCAAGCAAGAACTCACTGCAGAAGAGAGGGACTGATAAAATGAGAGAATTAACTCAAATGTACTCATCAAAGAAATCTATAAGACAGGTATATTCGTCCCATTTTCCCTACGAATTATGACAGGCATCGGGACATTGTGGAAAAATTCTCTACTTTTTTCTTTGCATGATACAAGGAGATTTTATGTTTAATGACAAAGATAATTCTCTACTTTTGAGTATTTCCATCTTTATATAGTTATGATGTTTGCTTTCCAGGCTAGGAAGCTTGATTCCCTACGTCAACAAGAAGATACTGGAAATCAAGAGGAATTTGACAGGAATATAGCTGGGGCAATAAACAATGAGGCTCTTGAAGTAGCTGTTACCACAGATAATGCTCGAAATATACCACCACATGATCTGGCAACCACTGTGCCGCACTTGGCATATCCACTGAACAGGATTATTCTCGAAGGAGAGTGGGACTATCTTTTGGATGTTTTGAAGCTCACAGAAGCTGGAGCAGAAATGAAACCTGATCTTTATCCAAGCTTTGTTTGCAACAGATCCTACAAATTGGAACATATACAGGTAAACAAATGATTGAAATTTCATTTTGTGAATGAGTCATGAGTTACGTGATTTAAGGATTTTTTTAAAAATAAAGAGCGAGTTTCTTCTAGTTTGAGGGCACAGAGCACAAGTTGATTGCTCACTTGCTTTCTTGCACTATAGTTATTTTGGTGCTGCTTTTCCTACCTTCTAATATTCAATGTTAGCACTAATCCGGGGCTATCCCCAATCTAATGTGTCTTGATTACACTACAGTTGGGTTTGATGTGCATATATTGATTATTATTTTTTCCTTGTGTTAGCAGTGAACCACTATAGTCATATTAGACCTAGCAGTTTCATATTTTCCTTTTCCAGTGTGACCAAACTCCTTTATTGTAGAATGAAGAGGAGAAGAGAAGGCTGGCAGGCATATTATCATACATTACGCATCTTGTTAAGTTCAAGGATAAACATTCTATGGATGGTGTATCATCTGCAAAGCATCACAAGATTCCTGGCATGTTGTTCCAGAAGTTCTCTTCGATGTTTGGTGTTCCTGATTCAAAAAGGCTTCCGGATGAAAACAAAGCTCTTCTTATCAACTATGTGTTGGTGCTTACTCTCTTCGTTGATGATTTTCGTAGCGATCTATCTGATATAGCCAAAGATTTGAGAATGAATATTGGAACATTGCGGCCTCACTATGAGTACTTAGGTTGCAAGCTTGTTCGTGAGAAACATGTATTATTGGCTACACTTCCCGTTCCACTGAAATTTCAAACTGTGAGGAGGAAGCGAAGAAGGTAGATTCTCCTGAAAATTTTCCTTTTATGTTACCCTGAAATAAAGGAATGCTCTATTTCTTGAGAGAAAAACAAGTATGAACATCAATAAAGCTTATAGCAACTAGTCTTCAGAACCCCATTTTCTATTATACACTTGGAAAAGAGGTAAATCTCATAGAGTAGCCAAATCCCATTTTCTATTGATTCTTATTGTTAAGAATCAATGTAACGGCAGAATTTTCACACGTTTAGTCTCTTCTTTGGTTAAAAGAGAAGTGCTTGGGAGTAATGGTGGCAAATGGGCTGGTTGGGTCTGGGCGGGTTAAAAAATAGGTTGAGTAAAAATGGATTGCGTCTCAACCCACTCATATTTCATGCGGGTCAAAAATGGGTTGGGTGTCAAATGAGCGGGTTGAATATGGGTTTAACCCATATTATATAAGTGTAATATTTTTTCAAGTGCAATTTATAAATTTTCTCTGCTCGGATTATTTCTTCATTAAATTTATTTAAATTTGACTATCATAGTGTAAACTTAAGTTACTCTTCCACAAAATATGACAGTTTTCATTTTAGGAAGAAAATGTGCTTAATGCACTTCAAGCAATATCACTAATAATATATGACTATGCATTTTCCGCCTTGTTCGTATTTTGTCTTCAATCCAATATAAAATTAAATAAATTTAAAAAATATAATAATAATAATAGCAATAATAATAAAAAGGGAAAAAAGAGCAAAAAATACAAATTCTTAGGGTGTGTTTGGTATGAAGAAAAATATCTTTCCATGAAAAATGAGTGATTTTATCACTTTTTTTTCCTCGTTTAGTTGATGAATGAAAAACTTTTTCTAGAAAATATTTTTTCCGAATTCCCATGTTTCTTGTGCTCTCCCCCCACCCCTTCCCCCCCCACCCCAAATACCCAACGTTTGCAAGACTTTATTTTATTCAAAAATTTAATTATTCTTTTAAAAATTCACACAAACCCAAAACTAATGTGATGCTTTACCTTTTCATGCAAGACACCTTGAAATTTGTGCTCTATAATTAAAAAGAAAATACTATTTTTTGGTTGAAAAAGAAGTATCTTTTCCACAACATAAAAAGAAAGTACTCATTTTGTTGAAATGAAAGAAAATACTTTTTTCTATATCATGAAAAGAAAATGCTCATTTTTTAAAATGAAAGAAAATACTTTTTCTATATCATTTTGAAAGAAAATACTTTTTTTTACATCGTGAAAAGAAATACTCATTTTGTTTAAATGAAAAAGAAAGTACTTTCTATGTTGTAGATAGAAAGTACTCTATCTATTACATGAAAATTAAATATAAAAATTAAGAGATGGAACGAGTACACCGTGATTAAATATTGAAACTTGAGGAAATTACCCAAAAAATTGCTCCAAATACTTGATGAATTAATTTGAAGCTTGAAACTTGCTCCAAAAATTTGCCCAAACACTTGAAACATAGTTAATTATGACAAATTGAGAGAAGATATAGATAGAATGTAAGAGATTAGAGAGAGAATGATATATTTTTGTAGAAAAAAAGAAGAAGGATAGGAGAACTTATAGTTAAAAATAGGGCCAAAGTATAACTTAATAAATATAGGGGTTAAATTAAAAGTTTGGGGGAGGGGGTAGGAGACATATTTAGCCGTTTATAAGTGTTGCCAACAGCTACTTTGAAAAATTAACCGTTTGCCAACGACCCTTTGATTAAAAAAAAAGTTTCATGGGACGAAATGGGTGGCCGTCCCATCCCTCGTCCCTTTTAGCCCATATCCCATCCTCCTTAATTTTCCTGGGCCGGACCGGAATCGTGATGGGCCGGGTTGTCCCGTCCCGTTGGACAGCCTTAGCTTCATATGACAAAGAATAAAATGTTTCCTTGTCTTTCCTTTGAAGTGAGAATTTTTCAGTTGTCTTTCAGAATTCACACACATGAGAAAAGTCATTTAGCTTGTGAGATTTTACTTTGTTTCAAGAGATACAAGGTTCGACTTAGGACAGTTCTTTTAGTGATGAGTACAACGATTCTCTGTTACTTTGAAAAGGAACAACTTCGTTATTTTTGCCTAGCAATTTATTCTTACAATCCAATATTAATAGTGGCGGGAGATAGTAGATATGAGATGAAATAGTCAAACATAGTACAAGAGAGCTCAATTCCAAGAAATGTTGTGTCGAGGACATCTTTTCTCATGAACAAGAAAAAATCAGATACATTGAACAGGAATGACCAGTGGTCAGTGAAGATTGATCACAAGCCCTTGACCATAAAATAGTGTGTAACTTTTAATTACTCTGCAATGCAATCTGATGATGCCCATACCCTACACCTCAGCCTTCTAGTCTTAAACCACCTTCAATTTTTTTATTTTTTGGTATGGAACTATGGGTTTCAGCACTCGTATATATGCTCATGCCATTGGCTTGCCAGTTCTGGCAATTATTATTAGTGTGGACTTACAGTATTATATATGGTTTGATGCCGAAAATACTTACTCATTTTTTGATATTTATATCAAATTGATAAATTTATAACAATATTTTAGTTAAGATTAAAAAGATTTCAAACTCTTCTACTGCTCCCACTGATAATGCCACCGACTGTCCTTGAGACTAGAGTGTGTGCGTGCGTGCGACTGAGACTACCCCACTATCTAGCAAAGATGAAATATTGTTTTAAATCTTTCAACCTTTAATTGTTTTCTTGCCACACGCCCCTTCCATCAGGGAACACATTGCCGGGGCGTATCCAGCTCTTCATTATTTGGTTTATCTGAATTCAATATTTTTGACACGAAATATAAATTTATATATAAAAATTTACTAAAAATTATAACAAATAATTGATATGAATCCATAAATTTATAATGTAATAAGTTCAATGCTAAATATCTTAAAAGTTAAACTCATATAGTTCAAATCCCCGGATCTGCCTATGCACATTGCAATTATTATTTGAAAATACCGTCCAAAAACCATAATTAAGTTAACAAAGAATCATCGATATTAATAAATAAGTAGAATAACAGACATACTTAGTTGCTTTTAACTGCGTGATTTAACTTTCCATTCCCCCGTTGAATTAGTCTAACGTACAAAGTCTTACTAATTTTACATAGTCTGTGTACTTGTGAACGTCTTTTGCTCCATGTACTGTTATATTTGCAAGGCTGAGGATTCATGTTAGTAGAGACGGTGTCAAGAATTTAAGTCAACATATTCGAATTAGTACCATAAGAATTCACTCATCACTCGTTGGTAATGTGTATGAATTAACATAAATATATAAGTAGCATTTAACTACTACTTGTATATTATATATAAAATTAAATATTGGTGGCTTAATAATATTATTACGTCATACTTGTATGCTTAGATTTTGCATATGACCTGGTGTTAGCTAATTCGTTGGATTTTGCTAAAGCATTTGACCTAGTGTTAGCTAATTCGTGTTTCCAGAAGAAGAAGGAGGAACACTTGGTCACTTTCCGGAGTAAAGTTGCTGGAACTCAGATTGATTACCTTCTTCTTAGGAGGGGTGATAGGGGCGTGTGCACTGATTTCAAGGTTATCTCGAATGAGTGTCTATCGCGCAATATAGACTCCTGGTATTAGACTTGGAGGTTAAGAGAGTAAGGAAGAAGAGAGCGGTGTACGGCCAACCGAAGAATAAGTGGGGAGCCTTGACTAAGGCAAAGGCGCAAGAGTTGAGGGAAAAGTTATTGGCCATGGGGGCCTGGAGGAGTAGTGGGGACACAAGTTATATGTGGACCACGACAACGAACTGCATTAAGGAAGCTGCTAGAGAGGTGTTAGGCGTATTGAAGGGTTATTCGGGAGGCCACAAAGGGGACGGGCGGTGGAATGAGGAGGTCCAAGGAAAAGTGGAAGCTAAGAAAGCAGCATATATGGAGCTAGTGGGGTGCACTGATGAGGAAGAGCAGAGGACGTGTAGAGAGCAGTATAAGTTGGTAAGGAAAGAGGCAAAATTGACAATCACGACGGCTAAGACTCCAGCTTTTGAGCAATTATATGAGGATCTTGGGGGCAAAAGAGGCGACAGAAAGTTGTACAAGTTAGCTAATATTAGGGAGAGGAAGGCTCGGGACCTGGATCAAGTGCGGTGCATTAAAGACGAATACAATAGAGTTCTGGTGGAAGAGGCGGTATTAAGCGTAGATGGCAAGAGTACTTCCATAGACTCCTGAACGAGGAAGGGGACATGAACATCGTACTAGGAGAGTGGGACAACCCAGGCAGTCAGAGGGATTTTGGGTTTTGCAGGCGTATTAGGAGCAATGAGGTTGAGGGGGAAATGTGGAAGATGAGCAGGGGTAAGGCAGATGGGCCTGACGAGATCCCAATAGAAATTTTGAAGGAAGCGGGGCAGGTAGGCTTGGAATGGCTTACTAGGTTATTTAATATCATTTTCAGGGGAAACAAGATGCCCGAGGAGTGGCGGTGGAGTTTGATGATCCCATTGTACAAGAACAAAGGTGATATTCAGAACTACAACAACTATAGGGCTATCAAGCTGCTGAGTCATACTATGAAAATTTGGGAGAGGGTGGTGGAGAGGAGGGTGCGATGTAGTGCTGCTATTTTCGAGAACCAGTTCGGGTTTATGCCAGGAAGGTCTAATACAGAAGCTATTCATCTTGTGAGGAGATTGGAGGAGCAATATAGGGAAAGGAAGAAGAACTTGCATATGGTATTCATAGACCTGGAGAAGGCTTATGATAAAGTCCCGAGAGAGGTCCTATGGAGATGTATGGAGGCTAGCGGTGTCCCTGTGGCATATATTTGGGTGATTAAGGACATGTACGAGGGAGCGAAAACTTGGGTGGGGACTGTGGGAGGAGACTCGGATCATTTTCCAGTGGAGATGGGCTGCATCAGGGATCGGCTCTTAGCCCACTTTTGTTTGCCTTAGCGTTAGAGGTGTTGGCGCGACACATACAAGAGGAGTTGCCATTGTGTATGCTATTCGCTAATGATATAGTCCTGATTGATGAAACGCGTGAAGGAGTTAACGCTAGGTTGGAAGTTTGGAAAGAGACGCTAGAGTTTAAGGGTTTTAAGTTGAGTAGGTCAAAAACTGAGTACTTGGAGTGCAAGCGCAGTGATGGGATGCACGAAGAAGGAGTGGTAGTGAAGATTGGTACTCAAGTCGTCCCT